TTGAGACGCTCGAGGCACGGCTCTCGCAGCAACTCTCGCAGCAGCTGGAGACGCAGTTGAGTGGCATTATCCAAATGCAGCTCCAAACACATGTGCAGCCTCAACTGCAACAGCAGCTTCAGAGCCAGTTGACACAGCTTCAGGACCCTTCAGACCGTTGCGCAGAGTTTCCCGCTTTTTGGAGCCCCATGCGCGCTGATCAGGACATTCCGGGCTTGAGGGAGACGGAGCTCAAGCACATCTTCCAGGAGAAGTGTCCAAAGTTGGTTCGCTGTTTGCACGCGCTTGATTGTAGTGCGGAAGGGACACTTGAAGGCCCAAAACTGCAAAAGAATTAATTTTCCTGATCTTTCTCAAGAGCAAAAAGAAGAGAGGGCCTCCTTTCAAGGGGCCTTACCTTGTTTTTGCTCACGCCAGCTATAACAAGCCTGGGGGCTTTAGTTTTTTTGCTAATAGGAACAACTCTCTCCCCAGTGGCCTTCCGAATTCATGTGCACATATTTTCCAACGCCTGTCACGTTGTTTTGGGAGGGTGGGGGGTGGGGATGGGCTGGGGGGGTAAAAAAGCTCGGTATCCAATGTATTCTGTCTATGGAAGACTGATAAACATATTGTTTACGGTACGTGAGGAAAGTGCGGTTGACGTTCCTTTGTACGTTGAAGAAAGTGCACACGTTTCGCTTTGCGGTGGGGTGGGGACGGGCTGGGGATAAGAACTCTCGGTATCTAATTTAGAAGACGGATGGTTTGCATGTCATGTCTACGAAACATGAAGAAACCGTTGATGCTCTTCTCCGCGGTACTGGTTGACGTTCTTTCTGCGAGAAATGAAGAAAGTGTGTCCTAGTAGCATCCTTGCTCCTAGTAGTAAGGCCAGGAGCCCCTAGTAGAGTCCTTGTTACTACTAGTAAGGCACTTGTTACTAGTAGCGATGCACTTGTTCCTAGTAGCGTCCTTGCTCCTGGGTCTTTCAGGAAAGTGTTTACGTTCACGTCTAAAGGATCGAAACGTCCTTTGAAAAACATGTGCGTTTCGCGCGGGGTCTTTGCGGGCGACGAGACCTTTTTGTTGATCTCCTTTATCTTTAAAGCTGCTTGATATCTGAAGACCAAGATTTCATCCTTACATGTAAAAAAAAACATGGACATCTCCCGGCCAGGAACAAGTCAAACAGTTGGAGCAGAAGGTCTCTGATGGCCAACAGACCCTTCGACAGGAAGCAGCCAAGCGGGAACAGCATCTCTCAGACTTGCAGGAGAACCGGGGAGAACCAGAGTTTTTGGATTCCAAGTTTCAGTCTATGCAATCATGAGAAGGAATCAGGGGAACCATATACTGCACGTGCTTGCAAGCCATGGCACCCTTCTGCTTCACAACCACAGGTGTAGCCTCTGTCATGACAAGCATCTTGTGTACCAACTTGTAGCTCTTGATGCAGGATGCAGCCCAACGCCTTGCGGAGACTGCCATGCACCGAGCCTCGAACCAAGCAGCCCAGGCTGCCCAGGCCTTCTCATCTTCTTCCGTGATGCAACGATTGCAGCTGGTGGAGAATGAATTGCAGAGCCTGCAGAGGTGCAGAATGGGTATGAAAAGAGTCGGTGTGGCATGAGGCATTTTCGGACTCTGCTGACTTGTGACTGCTTTCAGTGGTCAGCCATCTCGCAGGCAAGAGAAAGAGCGACACAAGAGGTGCGGTTGGGAGGTGGTGTTTTCCCTTGAGCGGAGAGGTGCCCCCAATAGATGACTGATTGCTCAAGTGGGGATGTGCCAGGACTGAGATTAATGATGATTATTGATTATGATTAAGGCATTTGTTTCCACTTTGTTTATAAATGACTAGAGACAAGACAAGCTGTGTTGGAGGCGCATAGCACGGCTGGAAGAGGACTTGGCACAGTCGCCGATGCCATCTCCACTTACATCTCCAGCTCTGTCGAAGCGAGAGGTGTTCTGTCCTAGTCCTGATGCCGCATTTCGGTGCAATGGTGCTTTGTTGCCTCTCTTTGTTTCCAGGTAGGAAATGATGGGGACGTCATCCATCGCATTGACGAGTTGCGAGTTCAGGCATCGGGGACCATTTTTGCTCATCTTCCCTTTGGATTTCCCATGCTCATGTGTTTCTGAAGTGTTTTTGAGGGTTAATTGAAGAAGGGGACAATTGAAGAAAAGAAGAACACGACAAGAAAGAGCGGAAGGACAAGAGAATCAGACAGAGAAAAGAGTAAAACGGAGAGTAAAACAAGATAATAAAACGGACGGTCTCCGTTTTTGCAATGCTCCGTTTGGCTGCAGCTCTATGCGGAGCTCAGTGACGCTCGGAACGTCGTGCCAAACTCAGAACGGTCTTGGTTCAAAGGGCATCGCTACTAGGAGCAAGGACTCTACTGGGCTCCTGGCCGTATTACTAGGAGCAAAGGCTGCTACTAGGGAGACTGATTCGAACGTTACAAACAACCCGTGAGGCCACACAGCTTGGCAGCCGAGTGTCGCGCTGCCAGAGCCTCAAAGCAGATAGCGCGCGTAGCAGTACAAAAAGAGCCGAATGGAGCTCGCTCAGGCAACGAGAATTGAGAGAGAAAGAGCAGAAATGCAGAAGGAAGAGCTGGATGAGAAAAGTTGGAATCAAACAAACATCGCTTGGATTTTTTGCAGTCATAATACAGTACATGTAAAAAGTTACTATTCAAGTGTCGTTCCTGAGGTGAGTCAGAGATTCTTGACCTCCGCATGCAGGTGCTCGTGGGTATTGTAGCCACGGTGAGGGAGGTACCAGAGCTCCACTGTGTTTGTCCTAGGCATAGCCGGACGTGAAGGGTGCCTTCATATGTCTTTATGACTTCTTCGTATTTTCATGTGTTTTTGGAATTCTCCCTTCTGACAACCAGGTCGCTTTGAATGGAGCAGAGGAGTCACAGACACCTGTGGTGTCCTGAGGCAAAATGAGACAAGCTTGCTTGTTCTGCAGTCATGATGAAGCCACGTGCTTGACCAATTTCATTTTAGGTCAGGACGCCCAGCTTTGCTCAGGCGTCATGGACAAGACAGAGAGACTCGGAGAGACTCAGAGAGACTCATAGAGGCAGAGATTCAGAGACTAACCTGTTTGTGTCGGCAGGGCTCACCTACGGTTGAAGGTTTGGCCCCAAGCCTAAAGGTTTGACAGATCTCTTGGAACAATCAGGCATCGCTACTAGTAACACGTGCATTGCTACTAGTAACAAGGTGCATCGCTACTAGTAGCTTCTAGCCACTAGTAGCGATGTACTTGTTACTGCTAGCGATGCCCCTGCTCACCTGTATCTTGGAATCTCTGCTTTTTGGTTCTCAGGTTGTCCAAAGACTCCGGACTGGGCTTCGCCTTGGCAAGCAGGGCAACCCAAGCAGAAACGGTGCAGGGTCGTTCGGAGAAGCGTCTTCAAGGAGTCTTCCGATGAGGTGACAGCAAGGACGGGCTTGGATGGCACGTATTCTTTGCCATCTCTTCCGGCCCTGCAAACCTCTCCTACATCCCCAGTCTCTTGGCTGAACAAGAGAAGCAACAAGACCAACAAAGTCGACGCTTAGGCTCCGTCACCTCCTCTGGGTGTGGAGGCTGTCAATGCTGGTTCTCGACAATATCTGCAAGGCTTCATGAATCTTGATGAACCAAGAGAGGAACTTTGGAACTGTCATGAACGAAAGATGGTGCTCCAGATTGTTGCACGTTTGCAGGTGTACCTGAGGGTCCTCAGCTGTCCTCTTGGGATGGTGACAAGGCTGAGCCCTTTGATGCCTCTTTTTGCCCCATTCATCCAGGGTTCATTCTCACCAAGGCCGGTGCAAGATCGCAAACGCTCGCCACTCTCTTAGACAGGGAGCAGGGAGTCCTTTTAAACACAACAACATAGAAACGAACCTAATAGCAATGGCCTCCAACCTAATAGCGATGGCCTCCAACCTACTAGCGCTGAAGCTCTTGGTTGCTGACCTTTACAATTGCTTTGAGTTCATCGAATTCCAAGTGCTAGGACTCTTCTGGAGTCTGTATGCAGGAATCTGGGCAGAGAATCAGACCTGGAGTACTCGTAGTAACAAGTGCCTCGCCAGTAGTAACAAGTGCCTCGCTGGTAGTAACAAGAAGCTGTTAGAATTAAAATTAGTAGCTTCTTGTTACTACTAGTAAGGCACTTGTTACTACTAGTAAGGCACTTGTTACTACTAGCGAGGCACTTGTTACTACTAGCAGGAATCTGGGCAGAGAATCAGACCTGGTACTTTTTTCCCCACTACTTTCCCCCACTTCAGGGCAGCCCGCCAACTCTCTAGGGGTCGCTGTGGATGTCATTTGAATAGCAATTGAAAGACATTTGCAATGTTGGCCTTTTTTTTGGGAGCCCTAGGACCTAGGAGTTACTAGTAGCTTCTTGTTACTAGTAGTAATAGTAGTAAGGCCAGGAGCCCCTAGTAACTTGCTCCTAGTAGCGATGCCCTTTGTTCCTGACTTGAGAGCCAACAGACCATGACCCACTTCCACACTTTGCCAAGGACTCTCCAGGCAGGGTGCCCAGCACGCGCTTCGGTGTGCTACCTCCTCCGAAGGTGCCACGATGCACCACGATGTGCGTTCAATTCAGTCAGAAGTTCTCCAACGCAAACGGCTTTGTTCAAAGGAACGAAACCAGTTCTGCGTTCTGAAACCAGATGCCTCTTCTCAAGTCTTGCCTCTCCCCTGATGTCAGGTCACAACAGAGGCGCCCACCCTGTGAGTGAGAGGAATGCAGTGCCAATGAACCAGCAAACGAAAAGAGAGGGAGGGTCGAGACGATTCTAGGCTAAGTGCCATGACGTTAAACTGTGCCATGATCAGCTTGTTTTTGCACGTTGATAGTTCAAGCCCGCCTGACAGCCAGTTACATATTCGAGGGTGCAACCACCAACACAACACAACTTGCCCCAACATGAACCACAAGATTTCTTCCACACTAACCATACTAACAGCTGACTTTGCCCATTTTATGCAATTTTAAGGCACGACTTTGTCTTGCCTCTTGGCCCGACTTGCGACATGAGTTGCTTCCGACCACGGGCCGCTCGGGCGGCACTGGGGCTGGCGAGACATCGCCGCTGCGCAGCAACGCAACTCGCTTCATTCAAGAGATTGAATAGATTGATTTGGGTGATTTGATCTTTTCTTTGTGTATTTGGCTCGAGGTTTCCACAAGTGAATCCTCGAAATGGGCAGACTTTCCATGTCTACGAAGCCATGCCACTTGGTCCATGTTTGAAGGTCACGGATGTCGTAGCATCGGCACCGCAGCTTAGGAGCGAAGACACCGTTGGACAGATCGTGGAGAAGGCCAATGTGGCTTTTCAGGACGCATTTGCGTGGAAGTTGATTGTTAATTTGCGAGCACAAGCTAGTTCCAACATGTAGACCTCACCAGCCCTTTTGAGAAACATACATATATAGATAGAAAGGTCTAAAGGTCCGAAGGTCAAAGAAGAAGGGAAGGACGGGCTGAGAAATATGAAAAGGAAAAGACAACAAACGAAAGACACATGAACTTGTTGAGTCGAAGGAATGGCGACAAGTCCCTGCTGCCGAACGTGTAGCAGCGCTTGCGCCTCTGGCCGAACGCTTGAGACATCGTGCTGACGAGGTCAGACATCATCATGCCATCATGTCATTTAGAATCTAGGCCTCACCCCACTAGGAACAAGAAGCTACTAGGAGCAAAGGGCATCGCTACTAGGAGCAAGGACGCTACTAGGGGCTCCTGGCCTTACTACTAGGAACAAGAAGCTACTAGGAACAAAAGGCACCACTACTAGGAGCAAGTGTCATCCGAATGTGGGCTTTGGTGCGCTGCAGGCTGCAGAGCTCATGTGCCAGGAGATGGGGAAGCCCCTAGCCCAGGGCAAAGCAGAGGTGATGAAATGCGCTTACTTAGCAACTTGTCAATCTCGAAGTGTCAAGTACCGAATTGAAGTACTTAGGACATTTGGCTTCTTGAGAACACGTCACTGAACAATTCCCAAGAATCTCGCGTCTGGGTGTTGGACATTTTTACGTGAGCTCCAGAGAGTCCCTTCGTTCATTCAATCCCTTGACTCACTCCAATACCGCTTTAGGTTGATTGGTATGCAGAAAATGGCGCAGAGTTTCTGAAAGACACGGAGTATCCTGCACTACCGGGTTTCCAGAAGTCTTTTGTCACCTACCAGCCCCTTGGTGCCTTGGATATGTGGAAGATTGGAGTGCATTGGCCCGATGGTGTCCTCAACTTCCACAAGCTTTAAAATCCGCTTGGGTTGGTTTGCTTCAACAAAATTGGGTCTTAGGCGTCGCTATCCACTATTTTCCGTGGAGTTTGAAGGAAATGCATTCTTGTTGTACTGTCTCAACTTAGGTTTGATCCTCTCCATTATGCCTTGGAACTTTCCTATGTGGCAGGTGGTGCGGATGGGTGTGCCGACCCTCATGGCGGGCAATGGAGTTCTACTGAAGCATGCGCCCAACTGCTTTGGAAGCAGCCTCCTTTGCGAGGACCCTCACAGCATTGACGTTTGTTTGCTTGCTGAAGTTGCTGCCCGAAGGAGCTGCTGAAGGATCTTCTGCCGGATGGCTTGTTCCGGTCAATGATCCTTGACGTGCCACAGACCAATAAGGTCTTGGAGCATCCGTCCATTCAAGGCATAGAGGGTTAGAGGGTTCGCCGAAACGATTCTTGGCCACTTCTTGCTCTAGACTAGCCTTAGAAAACAGAAAGGAAGAAAGAAAGAAACAAAAGAACACAATTGAAAGAACAGGTCTATATAAAGGTCTAAAGAGAGAAAAGAAACAAAAAACATAACAACATAAGAAACACAAATTCACATGCCACTTTTCTCTTTGCACAGGTCGCGGGGGCTCCGTTCGCTGTTCGCTTCCAGGTGTGGCCTTGACAGGCTCTGAAGTTGCAGGACGAGCTGTGGCTGCTAAAGCAGGGTCCCTTCTCAAGAAGGCCTGGGGGATGCAGGGAGCACAGTGTGAGCCCCTAGTAAAGTCCGAACGCTCCTAGTAGCGATGCCCTTTGTTCCTAGTAGCGTCTCTTGTTCCTGGTAGTAAGGCCAGGAGCCCCTAGTAGTGTCCTTGCTCCTAGCTCTATGATTTGATAGCGTATTGTAGTGATGGAGCTATCCATCCTTTTCTCTGCAGTTTTAACATTTGACAAAGGTCACCCAAAAAGAACCTGAGGATCTTCAAGTCGTGCCCGCTCGAGGCAGTTGTTGAGCTGGGAGGAAGCGATGCCTACGCCATCCTGGCCGACTGCGATTTGGACATGGCTGCTGAGGCAGTGGTGAACGCTCGGGTGGCGAACAGTGGACAGACCTGCATTGCACCCAAGCGGGCCATTGTGGAGAAGAGCGTCAAGGCCGCGAGAATGGACAACGAAAGCCATTGGAATTCAAGAATGAATGAAATGACTTCAGGTTTTCAGCCGCAATTCTTTCATTTCATCAGTTTCGCATATTCTGACCCGACAGTATTCCAAACAGAGGCAGCCTTTGAGCAGAAGGTCGTGGAGAAGATATCTCGAAAGAAGTATGGAGTGGACTATGGCCCACTGGTGCATCCTGTGGGCCGTGATCAAGTAGCCAAACAGGTGGTCGAGACTCAATCGCAAGGAGCCAAACTCCTTTGTGGCGGACCAGATGTGAAAGTGCCAACATCTGACTGTGGCAAGTCAGGTCCTTAGAGTCAGTAACAGGTGCCACGCTACTAGTAACAAGTGCCTTACTAGTAGTAACAATGTTTGCTATTAGAAACAAGTGCATCGCTAGTAGTAACAAGTGCCTTACTAGTAGTAACAAGTGCATCGCTATTTGAAACAGTTTAATTTAATTATCTGACTGTGGCAAGTCAGGTCCTTAGAGTCAGCAACTGCTTTTCTCCTTCATTCCAGACCTAAATCCCGATTGACAGTACTCTTAGATGAAGTAAGGGGCCGTTGAGTCCAAGACCGAATGCGCTTAAAAGAAAGAAACGTAAGGTCTAAAGAAAGGAACAAATAAGGAGGAAAGGGTTAAGTTTCTCTAAAAAGCTAGGAACCAAGCGTGAGCCGTGAGCAATCCTGCGTCCAGTGACTAGAAGCTAACTAGTAGCTAGTAGCTTACTGGTCGCCTTCCTTAATTAAGTGGGCGCCTACTGAAGCGTTCTGGCTAATAGTGAGTGTCCTAAGGCGGCCCTGTTTGGCGTCAATCTGAACTGCTGGCACACGAGTCACACGATGGAACCACGTGAGGTCCTTCTTCCCGCCGACGGTTTTAACGGATGTGAGACCTGGCATGACGGCCTTCGAAACGGAGATCTTCGGTCCAGTGATCTCTATCATTGAGGCACGAAAAATGGGAGAAACCGCGTGTGACATTGAGAAAAGGAAACGATGCGACGCACAGAACCATGCGACAACTCTGTGATAGGCAGAAGATGAATTGGAGGTGATCCGACTTGCGAATCAGACCCACTATGGATTGGCTGGGGCAATTTTCACAAGTGATCTTCAGAAGGCAGTCGCTGCTGACAGACTGTAGTTCTGATTGTTCTTGGTTGTAAAGATTGTACCATTCCACTGATTTCTCGTGCTATCTCAGGGCGAGCGCATGGCTGTGAAGGATATTGATGCTGGGATGTGCTTCGTGAACGACTTTGTGCGCTCGGATCCCTCCTTGCCCTTCGGAGGGGTTAAGAGCTCGGGTCTGGGCCGTGAGTGCGCGGCCTTTGGGATGTTAGAGTTTGTCAATGTGAAGACCATTTGTGTCAAGTAAGCCGGTGCCGTGCCCGGCCCGCAAGGCGGTGCCGTAAGGCGGTGCCATCGTTCTTTGATATCTTTTGCTTTTCTTTTGGGACAAGGTCAGCTAGCCTTTGTACAGGTCCACGATGCCTGAAGGCATATTGTTCAACTGAGCAGCTGACAAGTTCGAACCTGCATTCGGAAGGACGACCGACCAACAGAGGAGATAGCGCAACGAATGAATCAGTGAAGTATTTGCAATGAGGATTTGCGACTCATTGATTTGGCCCTTCGGAGACGGAATCAGACTTTGACTCAACTTGAAATAGACTTAGACTTATGCATTTGAGTGGCTTGCAGTTCGGATGCATCACCCCGGCCTGACTGAGCAGCAACTGAAGACATCAAGACAGCTTGTCTCTCATTCTTTCTCATGACCAATTGGAAAGCCAGACAGGTGGACTTGAACGAGTGTTTGCCACATCAGCTTCAGTACTCCTTTTCATGTTTCCTCTCTTCCTTGGTGCCTTATGCCATGGGTAAGGAAGGGCAGTTTCAGCACTTAAATGGTGCCCGCAGTTTGGTTGCCTTCTGGATTGTTTGTGCCCACTATATGCCCAAAGGAACGGCAACGGGCGACTTTTTGAATGGTGCAGTCTTCCGGGTGAACGTGGCGGTCTGTTTCTTCGTCGTGGTGAGCGGCTTTGTGACGCACTGGACAAGTGAAGGGCGACCCTTGGAGTCTGTGAACGAGCTGCTGCATTTCTATGTTCGTCGTTTGAGCCGTGTGCTGGTGACCTTTTGGCTGGCCATGTTGTGGGCCGTGTATTTGCAGCACAAGAATGGACAAGAGCTGCAGGTGCGAATGGTGGATTTGTTTGTAATTGGAGCTAATGCATTGGACACAAGAGGTCGGACCATTTTCTATGGGACACACAGGCTGTGTGAAGGCATGCTTTTGTCCAATCTTTGCGTTTGGTCGTTCTGGTCTATAGGTTGACTATGTGGTGAGATGCCTTTGTCTTGTCGAGCAATGGGTTCATTGGCCCACACCTCAGAAGGGAAAAAGAGACATGCAAAGGCTACATGAATGCGGAGCAAATGCAAGGTTACTGGTTTCTTTTTTAAAATCAGAGTTTGCAAAACCAGACCAAGCAAGCAACAAGCAAGAAGGTTTCAGTTTTGCATATTTGATGGGCTCTTTGCCTTTCTTGCGGTGAGTCAGGTGCCCCAACGGCCCCAGTTGGTTCGTCTTCGCGCTGCTTCCTTCATGGATCTTGTGTGACTCCGAGTGACTCACAGACGGAGCTCGTCTGAGCCGTCGTCGTCAAAGGTATCCGCTGACGAGTTCTCTTCCCAACACTGAGGTATCCGCTGACCCGAAAATTGGTCTATTTGGCCGAAGAAATTGGTGGAGGAGACTTGAATCCGAGGTTGAAAGGGTCAGAAGTTTGGGAAATCCCTCAATGCCTTTTGTTTCCAGACATTGGAGAGAATGAGGGAAACAAAGACCAGGAGCTGGTCTTCTCTTTTTTCAGGCATTCCTGTTCCTTTCCTCAGCAGGTGCTTGAAATTGCTTGAATACTGTTTCAGATTGATGGGATTGCGATTTTCAGCGCTGGCCAGGTCCAGCGGTGTACCTGCTCCTGGTGCATGGAAACATCACCATGTGGCTTGTCGGCACAAAGAGCGACAAAGCCACGCAGTTTCTAAAGGACAAAAGCATCAGACATGCTTCGTTTGTTTCGTTTGATTCTTTTAGTTTCGTTTGTCCCTTTGACACTTCCTTTTCTTTTTCTTTCAGCGACATGGTGAAGCATGATCAATAGTTACCTGCATTCACTTTTGCCAAGGCAGGAGCATTCGGACATGACCTTTTGGTTCGGATGCCTGAGTTGCACGAAACACTCCAAGTCATTCCTGCCCCGTAAGTGTTCAGATGGCTTGCACCAGTCACCTTTAATTGCGCTAAACTTTGGTCTTAAAAGACGAAGGAAAAGAAAGGAGAAAAGATCGATAAATTCAGGGCAAAAAAAGAAAGAAAGGAAGAAAGAAAGAAAGGAAGAGCTCATTTTATGTTTGACATACACATTTTTATTTCTCGTGTCAAATCCACGACCTCAAGCGAGAGCGGCATGATGACTGAGGCCGCCGTCTCAAATGTCCGATTTCGTGCTGGGCATGACGACTGCGGCGTTGGTGCGACGCGGAGGAAAGTACCTTCACTTCTTGGCAGATTTCAGTCTGCTCGTGGTGGTGCTAGTGGCATGCCTCATTTAGCGACATTCGACCTATTGAAGAACTCTTTCACAAGGGTGGATGCCATTCTACGCAGTAAGACCTCGTATCGTAGTATACTTCTTAATTTCGTAGTATTCTACGGAATTCCGCGTGTCGTTTGAAGGCCTTGGGTCCTCTCATTTCGGTCTATGGGTGTCATACCTGCCGTGTTTCGGTGAGGTGGTCTTCCTGCTTCCACGGCCTGCAACGACGTGGGCCTTGCACCTCAACGGCTGGGAGCCAATGCTGGACCATGGACTGGCGCCACTACTCGCAGGCTGAAAGGATCGATGCTGATGCATCGCTACGTTCATGGCGTCCTCTTGTTCCTAGTAAGGCCAAGAGCCCCTAGTAGCGTCCGAACGCTCCTAGTAGCGATGCCCTTTGTTACTAGCTAAAGTCAAACACAAAACCACGTAGTTTTGCATGGGATTCTTTCGAGCATTCTGCGAAGTCGATTGTGAAAACAGCAGTCAGTGGTGAAAGTCAGCGGTGATGCCAAGACTGGCCTGAAGACCCTGTGCCCTGTCTGCCCTGGCAGCTTTCATCCTTGGCTCCTGCGCCGATCGAGAACGTCCAGGCAAAGTTGGAATCATTGAAGAAATCGGGAATCAAAACAGAAAGAGCATCTTAGATCGTGAATCAATAAAGTTGGAACTTCACGAATCCATCGTTTACGCCATCGAATCCAACCTGAAATGGCCTTTCACATCCTTTCACCTTTTCCAGGCTGGTGCGCACGGCTTTTGGCTCATCCCGTGACTCACCGGTGTTAACTGAATGTCCGTTAATGGTATTGCTTTGATCAGCTTCACCTCCTATTCACAGCGCTTCGCGCACGAAGCCGCCCGCACGGAGTGTGTGCGTCTGTTCGGGCAGGACACACGGAAGAACACACGCACGATGTCAATAGTCTGTCTCGGTCGGTCTGGGTGTCTGTCTGTCTGGCTGTCTGCCTGCCTGGCTGGCTGGCTGGCTGGCTGGTCTGTCTCTCTGTGTCTGTCTGGGTCTAGATCTGTCTGGGTCTGTCTGGGTCTGGTCTGTCTCTGTCTGTCTGGGTCTGTCTGGCTCTGTCTGGGTCTGTCTGTCTGTCTCTGTCTGTCTCTGTCTCTGTCTCGGTGTCAAAAACCACATGCGACTGTTCCCACCAAAAAACATCAAAAGCCACATGCCCAATACCATTCACCTCATCCAGTCGGACTGAGCACACGACCGAACACATCCACGATATCAATCGTACAGTATCCTACGGCTTACTTCGACGTTTGCGATTTCTGCGATGTCCTTTCCTCCGGCCGACATAACCGGCATCGCATATCCATAGTGCAGTGCCCCTTGGCTTCCCGAGATGTCTGTGATGTCAATTCTGCGATCTAGCCCGACCGGCATAACCGGCATCATCAATGTTTTGTTCAATTTTGATCAATTTTCAAAAAACATTGAAAAGCACAGCGCTTCTAGGAGAAAAATGCCGTTCAGTTCTAAAGTTAACGAAGCGGAGCGTGGCTAGCACACTGCTGACTTCAGCCGCCTGTAAGCGTCAACCACTTTGTGGGCCTGAGGCTCTCGTATCGCTAGGGGAGATGAGCTTTGAGGTCGCTTGACGAGACATTCAAGACCTCTAGAATGCCCTCAGATTTTTGCAGGTAAAGTCCAAGAGTTAGAAGCGAAACATATGGATTTCTAGACCTTAAGACCAAAACTCTTCGAGACCTAATGCCTGACTACTTTTGTTCGCATCACTAATTCCGGTTTGGAGATTTGATTCCGAGGTTTACATCTTCCAGCGGCCAGTGCACGACACCTTTGAACTCTTCACTGCCACTGATGAGATGGATGTCCAGCACCTGGACATCACTTCGCCAGCTTCGCAGACAGCACATCTGGTCTCCGTGGCCCAAGGTCTTCTTGGTTTACTTGCTGGTCCTTTGGGCCTTTGCTGGCGTTTACAAAAGCTATGTGGAGGCAAGTTGGCCCTCTCACAAAAGATTGAGAAACACGGAGAAGCCTCGTATTGTTTGCTGTGGCATTTTAAACACTCACCGAATCACTCAACGGACAACGCGCTTTGAGGATCCAGTGGAGCAGTGCCTGCGGGCCCGAAGATCGGTGCCTTGGCAGCGTCCTGTGCCGCACCGGTGCGGTGACTCCGTGTGCCGCACTCTTGTTACTACTAGTAAGGCACCTGTTACTACTAGCGATGCACTTGTTCCTAGTAGCTTCTTGTTACTACTAGTAAGGCACTTGCTACTAGAAGCGATGCACTTGTTCCTAGTAGCTTCTTGTTACTACTAGTAAGGCACCTGTTACTACTAGCGAGGCACTTGTTACTACTAGCTTCTTGTTACTAGTAGCGTGGCGCTTGTTACTAGTAGCGATGCACTTGTTTGTACTGCGCTCACCGCCAGGGCGGCTCACCCGCGGAAGTCTTAAAAGTGCCGACGGAGGCGCTTTTGGGGGTATGAGTTTTGGAGCAGAATAGAACTGGTATGAAGCTTATATAAGAATTATATCAGATATACATTCCAGACTGATGATGCTTGGTGGGTTGTGACATTCGAACCACGATAACTGTTAGAAGAATGGTCGTTCAGGACTTCGACCTCCTGCCAGAGAGCTCGGAGAATGCAGACATAGAGGGTGTCCGGAACCGTGGCAATTAACCTTTTGAATGCCGCGATCTGACAATCTGACACAACATTGTTTCTTAGATAAGAAAGTGAGCACAGGCCTTGCTTTTGCTTGTAGCTGCTTCCAGCCCAGAAAAGTCCTCCGTTGGCTGGCACGTGCCTTGAAGGTTTCTCCTTCAAAGCCATTTTGATGAAGGAATCTTTGGGTAGTTCAGTTCATGGGTGATGGAAGACATTTCGCAAGTCTTGACTGCATGCTGACCTGGGCTCCTTTCAGATTTTTGCTGTGAACTTGTGCCACCCACCATGAGGGGTCAACACAGGCAGCCTACAGTGCGAAAGCAACTTCGCTCGAAAGATCGTTGCTGAGAGCCTTGAATTCGAACGAGTGCAATACCAGCTTGGTTTAGACGAAGGGCCTTCGATGAAAACACGGAAGCCACATTGCATGGTTCAACGGTACTACTGTACGAGACGTATATATACTAGTACTATCCCACACACTGCTTTCAGCTCAGACCGAGCCATGTGGGATGATGAGGCCATGTCGTGACATTGTCACGGTGGGGTGTTTGGTAAAAGTCCAACATACGACAGAAAGCAGCAAACAGGACTTGTCAGCTTGAGTTCATAGGATCTAGAAGGGTATGACGAAGAGAAAGGTGCGATTTCTTTTTGTGGGTCGCCAGCCCAGATTCAGATGATCTGGATGTCCTTTTACTGTGGAGAGGATGAGGAGGATTCAAATTGGGACGAGATGAAGAAGATTATCACTGGATCTTCTGTCCCAACCTCCTCGACTCCACCCAAAGCAGCTTGGTGGCAAAACGATTGGAGCTTCGAAACATGTCCCAAACTCCAAAAGCTTTCTGGAAGAAAAGCGTCGTTTAAGCGGTAAGCAGTAGCTTAAGCCCACCTGCATCGAAGCCGTACTCGTTCCTTCGAGCCCAAAAGGTGCATGTTTTTTTTCGCTGTCCAGCACACTTCTTAACAGGCTACTACTTCTCCAGGTTCTTGTTCCTAGTAGTAAGGCCAAGAGAGTAGCATCCAGGCTACTTGA